TTATTAACCTTTAATTAACCAGGCAAATCCCATTGAGATCACAGATCTCTTTTGCAAGGGATGCCTGGGCCTGAAGGCAGCCTAACATGCATGATCATATTTTTATTTTATTTTTTACCTTTTATTTATACAGGTAGTCTCATTGAGCCACGATAACTCATTTTTCAAGAGAGACCTGGACTTAATGGACTTAAGAATTAGTCAATAAAATGATGATATATGACATAATTATTTTTAACATGACAATGTCACACCTTTATGTGCCCTTATGTATGCATAACTGAAAATGGATACGATTACTTTACAAACTATTTCTCATGTTAGGACAAAGAATACAAATTTCATAATGCAATAAAGAAATAAATGGCCCTGCATGGACTGGAGGCCTGTCCAGGGAGTCCTCCGCCTCTAATAAACAGGGATGCCAGGCATGGGCACCAGAGACCCCTGCAACCTGAAAAGGAAGATGCGGGTAAAAGTTAATGGATGGATAAATAAAGATGTGCACTTAGAAGTAAGGAGGTTTATTTTTAACAACAAGCCTGGATTTTCCTCCCTTTTCTACTTTTCCATCTAACAGTTTTGACATTTTCAAATGCTTGCATATAATTCAGTTTTAATGCAAATAATGAAGGAAAACGTAGTATATGATCGTTTTCATTACATAATTCATCCATTCATTCATTCATTAGTTTCTTTGTTATTTCTTTAACAAAAGAAGACATGATTTATGTGTTCACGTTTTCCTTTTTCTTATTTGACTGTAGTTTGTTAGGTCTCTAAAGCTTTGCATTTTAATAGCCTCTTGATTCTGACTATCTGAGAAACTTCTAGAACTGCTTCAACATCTCTGGAGAGTCGTGTGCCAAGAATACACAAGCAGTTTGTCTTCATCTAGTGGTGACCCCCAGTAGTACAATACATCACAATAAAGCATTTTTGTAAATATTATTTTATTAACAACTTATTTAATCAGGCAATTCCCACTGAAATCACAGATCTCTTTTACAAAAGAGGTCTGGGCCTGAAGGCAGCCTAACATGCATGTTTTTAACTGTGGGAGGACTGTGTGTGTGTGTGTGTTGGGGGGGGGGGGGGCAACCCCACACAAACACAAGGAGAACATGCAAACTCCTCACACAAAGCCCCCAAGACCAACCTGGGGATTGAACCAAGGACCTTCTTGCTGTGAGACAACAGAGCTAACCACTAAGCCATCATGCTGCACAGTTGATCTTTTGCACATACAAGTATTATGCTTAGGATGTACGTGTTTGTTCGCAAGTGCGACTTCTCCTGTGATTTAATTTTATTGTTTTACCTTCATCCATTCTTCATCCCACCAGGAACAAAAACATGTTTACTGGAAATAAATGTCATGTTTAACTTTTTCAGATAGATAGAAGAAGACTGGCTCCAAAAAGTCTAATTTCTTCAAAAACATTTTTCTGTCTGTTCCAAAACAACTCACTGTTTTTCTGACTTTTAATGACCCTCTTACATCACTAAAACCACACCCCTGTTGGTTCGTTTCAACCAATCAGGAAGTTCTCAGAGGAACCGGAAGTGACCTCTTTAAAAGGGTCAACACTTCCTAGTTCCAAGCTGAACGCAGAACGCAGAACAACGGGAACTAAGCAGAACAAGAGTTCCAAGCTGAACAACGTTCCAGAGAGAACCAGAGATCCAGGGAGAACCTCGAACGAGAAGTTCAGAAGAACAGAAGTTCGAGCAGTTTCTAATGGAATGACCAGAGTCCGTCGATGCCACGACGTCTCGCTGTGGCTACTCGACGAACGCTCTGAACAATGAAGGAGTCTGTTCTGTGATGATCTCATGACTCCTGAGGACACAGCTGTTCTTACGGAGACGCTGAAAGGTGGCTTGAAGTGGAACTTTACGCCGGAACTGAAATATCTTCAGAAAGGTAAAGAATCGATCTTCAACTGCGAAGTGTACCGTGGGTTAAGCTGGGTCCAAAGGAGCGTGTTGTTTCTGGTTATAACAGACATATTCCCTCACCTATCTCTCTCCATTTATACTTCATTTTCCCATCTTTAAAACTCTTCTATCTGCCAGTAATTAATCCAGATATTTTCAGAAATGTCTGTTGGTTTCAAAGCTGCAGGTGAGATACCATGGCCGTATGGTTCTCATTGTAAAGCTCATTAATTAAGCTGTGTTATTAATCAATCTGCCAATTAATGTAAATGTGTGATGTTGTTTTAAATCGTTTTTAATTAAACAGCTCACTGTTGTTGGTGAGTCAGAAATTAAAACACGTTTCCGTCCACATTTAATCATTCAAAACACGATAGAACTCAGTCCAGAAAAATGAAAGAATCCGTTTAAATTATGAATAATATCTGACAGGTATTATGCTCATTACACTAACAATAAATAGACTTCAGCTCATCTCTATGACTTGTTTCATTTCTCATTTCTCATCAGTTAGTTGAAACACACATCTATATGCAGGACAGTGGACCCCAATTACTTGAAGTCCTGCACCTTTGTGACCTCTGCTCCTTGTAGCCTCACTGTCATTCACACACATGTACTCTGTCTTACTCCGGCTGACGGTCATTCCTCTTCTTTCAATGACAGCTTTACAGCGGACAGCCGCTCCCCTCTCTTCCAGGTACTGTGTACCGGTGAAGCATCTTTTAGTGGTACGCAGTACTGGACCGTACTGGCTTATTTGCATCCCTGGTTGTGACGGTACGTTCTGTTTGTCGTCTGTATTGTTCTGTTGGTACTGAACCGCGTGCGTGTGAAAAGGGGTGGGCGTGACAGCAGTAACAGAAACATGTATTTAGCATGTTTATGCATGACTCATTTAGCAATGAGTCATGTTATCGCTTGGATTTGAATCACTACATTTTGCATCCAATAAAAACTAAGATGTAAACAAATAAACTGGACAAAATACCATACAAGACCGGTCTCGAGTACTACACATTTATGCAAAAAGGTACAACTTATACAGTGAAAAATATGGTAAATAGTTTTCTAACTTCTACCACACCAGTCATTCACAAAGCTCAGGCAAATTCATTATTATAATAACCGCATTAGATTTATTTTATTTTTTTAATTAAATTTTATTAGGCTTTATCTTGTAAACTTACATCAACTTTTTTTAATCAAACAATAAAATACACAAAAGTCAAATGAGTACGTGTTCACAAGAATTGTGTAACAAATTTCTCATGTTACACCCGTGCTTCTGATTATTTGACAAACATTATTAAAAAAGAGCTTTTTAGCGAAACGTGTCACTTTTAACTGATCTTAGATGTAACAGTTGCGTGGGCGGCACGGTGGCGCAGTGAGCAGCTGTTTCAAATTCCAGCCGGGGGCCTTTCTGGGTGGAGTTTGCATGTTCTCTCCGTGCATGCGTGGGTTTTCTCCAGGTGCTCCGGTTTCCTCACAGACCAAAAACATGCATGTTAGGCTGATTGGTAACTCTAAATTGTTAATAGGTGTGAGTGAGAGAGTGAATGGTTGTTTGTCTCTATGTGTCCCTGTGATGGACTGGAGACATGTGTCCCCCCTGCCTCTCATACAGTGACTGCTGGGTATGGGCACCAGTGACCCCCACAACTCAAAAAGGAAGAAGCGGATAAAGATAATGGATGGATGTAACAGGTAACAAAAACCTGATGCTTTTTTAAAGCAATCTATTTCAGCCGTGCAGATTAAATGATACGACTGTCTGAAAGATTTGCCACAACAACATGGTTACAAAAACTTAAAAAAAAATTGAGGTCAGCTGAACTCTTTCGTCACACTCTGCTTGGTTATCCATGATTGGATGTGAATACGGCATGTCAGCGCTCCAGGGCAGCACAGTCAAACACTCGGAACAACAAGTCCTATTGAAACAAACAAGAAGCAACAAAAGACATTTAGTAACGACGAGCAAACTGTCATGTGACGTCACATGCACACATTGCACACAAACCACTGCAGAAGCTCATCCTCACATCTCCATTTTTCTGTGTGACCTTAATTACCGGAAAGCTCACTTTCCCCCCTCGTTTTCGATCATGTCCCAGTCAGCACAGACAGGTCACGTCCGTCCATTAAAGGACGCCGAGGACAGTAAACGAATCTGATGTCACCGATCACGTGAGTCGTGGATCAGACGTCGACAGAGGACAGAGCGGTTTTCATAATCTGCATCATAAACCCTGTTTAATCCCGTCCAAACGCTCACTGAGTGACCTATAAATTTTCCTTTTTTTATTAATTTGCGTCAGGCTGCAGTAACTGGCAGAGCAGCTGAGACAAAGAATCAGTTATTGGTGACACTCATAGTAAAGCATAATAAACTAATCAACCAACACTGGAGAGTGAAACTCAGTTAGAAAAGGAGCCAACACTTAAAACTATTTTTACACCAAGGCTCAAACCTTTAACTCCTGCCAGAGGCTAACAACAGCCAGATTTAGCCATTGCGTGTTGATTTTGACATTTGTGAACTAACTTAGCTTTTTGTTCAAAATTAGATTTATTTACCACCTTTAATTACTTTTATTTTCCACATTTTTTGTGTGTGTGTGAATGTTTTCTGCTTCATTTTCACAGCAGGAAGGAGGTAGTTCTTGAGCTTTTGTGTCATTCACCTCAAATTCTCACTGCCCTGCACCATAATGATTGTTTTTGTTCTGCAGCTACGGTTAGCTTTGCGCACGAGCCAGTATGTTTGCATGTTGTTGTGTTTAAGTTTAGCTGCAGTAAAATTCTGGAATTGAAGTCCATGCCACTCACTGAGAAAAAAAAAAAAAATCACAACAGCCATTAAAAAAAGCATGGGCAACTTCAGGCCCGAGGGCCAAAAGTGGCCCTTGGATCATCTCCATCTGGTCCTCACTATCCTTAGTTTGAAAAAACACAACTTTTTAAATAAATATTGTTTTTAAAAAGCAGCAATTTATCAATGACACTTAAGGAAATTCAAATTAAAAGTATTTTGCAAACCTAAAAAAATAAAACATTTTTTAGTCATCGTGTCAGAATGAATTTTAAAGATTTAGAAACACAAATATATAAGTTTGTTTTGCATAGTTCCGCTAGCATGTATAACATGTTAAGCTAACATTCATTCATTCAACCTTTATTTATGCAAGTTAGTCTAACTGAGCCTCAAGGACTCATAACATGTTGTCACTTTACAGAATATGTCTTATATTCCTAAAGGATTTTGAAAAGACTAAAGCATGCTAATTATGCTACAATAAGAAAAAGTTCTTCTAGATTTTTTGTCATAAAGAATCATTTTTTTTCCAATTTTCTATGTGGCCCTTTGAAAAAATATGTTGCCCACCTCTGCACTAAAACAATGCACAATTTGATGAGCAAGAGCTACTGGCAACCTTCAAAATGCTGCACGTGACATTTTGCCCAGTTAGGTTGTCCTGCAGCTTAACATCCCGTTTAAATATATTTTTCGCCTTCTTACCCCGTGACATTTCTCCCCCAAGATGATGAAGAGCTGTCGCAGTCCGTATTCCAGCTTCCTGACTTCTCTGGTGTAGGCGCAGCGCCGCTGTCGGAGACCTTCCACCAGAGAGATGTAGCTCCACAGTTTGTACATCACACAAGCGTTCTGTCACGAGTAGCAATTACGAGTCGAGTGATTTACAGGAGCTAATTTTTCCAGTCAAAGACGTAGAACAACAACCAGAGAACTCTTTCTTTTTAAAGAAGGTCAATCAAAACATAGTTTCAACGTTTCTATGTGCATTTAAAGCACAAAAACACAACTCCTTTGGCCTTTAAAGACAATTTGAACTCATACTTACATGGATGTCGAGGTAAAGTTCCGGCATGTGAGACATGCAGTAAGTCTGCATGAAAAGCAAAATCAAAACAACAAAGAACAAAATTTAACACATAATTAAGTGAGTAAATGTGTGAAGTTTAAAGCAGCAGCTCACTTACAGTTTCAGGGTGTCTCTTCAGATCTGCTGCCATCTGGGTGAGCTCCCGCTTCATGCTCAGAGCTTTGGAGTAGCATGTTGTCGGGTAGAAAGGCAAGCTCAGTGCCAGAGACACCAAGGATGACACGAGCAGCAAGTGGCTCAAGGTCGACATGCCTCACTGAGACCTGCTGTCCTACGGACGTCTTGGCTTGTCTGACCCATGCACACATCCAGCCACGTATGCAAGATTTAACACACCCTCTTTGTTTACTCCAAAACAATTACACGGTGGAAGCTTGGAATCTGGAGATCTTCTGTGGAAGATAAGAAAGCTCTTATTTTGGCTTGGAGCATCTCAGAGATGTTTTTTTTTATAAGAATTATAGCAGTAAAAGAGAGTTTTCTTGCATTTTTTAAATTTTTTTTTTACTAAAGTTAAAATTTCAATAAGGCAATCAGAGTTCTATCAATAATACATAAAACAAAACTTGCTTTGAAAAGCAAAAATCAACAGAGTTTACAGCTACGAGTAAAACTTACTTTTTATTACACAGAATTTTACAAACTATTTGAGAATATTGTACATTACTGCATATTATTGCTATATAGACGCATTAATAATTACATCATTTATATATGATGCAGCTTTTAATTATGAAAATAGCTACAGTCTTATTTAACTGTAAGTGTACCCTAAAAAAATACAGATATTCTCCAACAATATAGAAAGTAATTACTGTATTTTCCAGCATATTAGTTGCACCTTTTTGCATAAATTTACAAGTCCTGCGACTTATACACCGAAGCAACTAATATACATTTTTCCCCCCACTTTTAAAATCCAATTTTTGGCTGAGCTCTGACAATTTTTTCATTTTGACATGAAAAATATTAAGCATTACCATTTGCAGTGGCTAGAAGGCCCTCGAACAATATGGCAAGCCAAGTGTCTCATTAATATGTAAAAGTGGCTATTGATGAGACACTTGGCTTGCCATACAGGCCCATTCTTCTTGCTCCTGAACTCTTGGAGCAAACGTCAAATCAGCTTCATTTTGCCGTGCTGCTCAGGTGAAATTAAACTGATTTGACCATCAAAGTGCATTTATTAAGGAAAAGTTCAACTGAGACTCAGCTTTGCTATAACGTAGAGCAAACAAACAATTGTTTTTAAGTGTTAATTTTGTTAAATTCTTGTTAAAGTCCTCCCGTGCACGCTCCCAGGGCCACCACGTTGGCAGCCAATCAATTTTTGGCACAACACTGGCCCATGTTTCCGGGTGGTCAGTGGTGATGCATAATAGATGTGACTTATACGGTGAAGCAACTTATGTTTTTTCCACTTTATTATCCATATTTATACTGATGCAACTTATACGGCGGTGCAACGTGTACGGCGGAAAGTACGGTAAATTGTTTGTATAATTTGTATTATAATCTCTGAAGCATAAAACAACAAACAAAGTTATTATATAGAAATGAGTGATAAAACGTACAATTGTTTACTTGAAATTGTAGTAAAGGGTTAAAACAAATACAAAAGGCAAACAAACAAAAGCTTCTGAAATAAAAATGTCATTTTCTCTCTTTTTCCGTGTGACGATTTGTTTCTCCGCACAATGTGTGGGAAAGGCTGTAACTGCATTTGAAAAAGTAATACTTTAAATAAATATATTTTGAACAAAAACATTTAATTAAACACCTTTTTTTTTTTTGATTCACATTTTTGCATTCTAAAGATTATTGTTTTTTTTTTTAATCTTTACAGTGAGAAATGCTGAAAACCACAATCCCATTAAACTTGGACTAAAGTATATATAATTTGGTACCACTTTACAATAAGGCTCCCCTTATAGATGCTAATAAATAGTTTATAGCTACATTATTAATTCATCTATAAACACTTTATAAACATTAATAACTGCTTATTATGCATTATTTAAGGGTGACAAAGACAAAACTGACCAGTTTCTTGCCAAATAGTGAGAGAAATCTGCCACCTATATATTTAATCTAGAGTTGTTATATTAAACATTTCAGACTAAGTTACTACCTTGTAAGCACAAT